AAAATAAATAAACGTTGAAAAAAAAAATTTTTTAAAAAAAAAAAAAAGAAGAAGAGAAGTGGCCAAAGAAAAAAATAGGGTGGTGTCTAGAAACCTAAACCAAAGGAAGAAACAGTTCTCAGGAAGGTGGAGAGCTGGCAGACCCCACATACTTCCTGGCTGAAGCATTACTCACCCCATAAGGGACACGCATCTGTTTGCTCCCTATCTCTCCCCTTCAGGGTGCTACAGTAATGGCCTTTACTAAAAATTTTAGGGGCACCTGGGTGGCTCAGTCAGTTAAGCGGCCGACTTTGGCTCAAGTCATGATTTCGCAGTCCGTGAGTTCAAGCCCCACGTCGGGCTCTGTGCTGACAGCTCAGAGCCTGGAGCCTGTTTCAGATTCTGTGTCTCCCTCTCTTTGACCCTCCCCCATTCATGCTCTCTGTCTCAAAGGTAAATAAATGTTAAAAATAAAATAAAAATTTTACATTTGTTGTTGAGATTATTTGGTCAATTTCTGATTCTGTCACTGGTGTGTCAATTACATGAGGGCAGAAACCACATGTTTGTTTGTTTGTTTGTTTGTTTGATCTTTGTGATCCATTACCTGGCATAGAATGTATGTGCAAAAAATTCTTGTTGAGAGAAGAATGGAATTTGGGAGGTCAATGTGCCCTCAGGCCCCCTGAAATTTCAAACTTATAATTGTGTATAGAACTGTCAAGGAATATAGCTGAGGATAGACCATCTAATACTCAGCAAGTAATACTCACTTTAGTGCCAGGAGATGCTAGGAGCTGGAGATGAGAAACTGAAAAGTGGTCAGAGGTTGGAAGAAATGCCCACAAATGCTTGGTCCCCTTGGACTGAGGAGTCCCAAGAATGCAAATTATAGAAGTGGGAAGTGAGTGCACCCCACTGTGCTGCCCACTTGGCTACGTGGTCTCTCAAAGAGTGGCTGGGAAGGAGGACCTAAAGTGGTGGGTAGCAGGGAAAGGAGGGGGTGGCATCATCAAAGAAAGGCAGGAGTGGAGGACAAAGGAATGGAATGGGGGACAAAGAAGGCTAGAAAAACTAAGGCATTTGGATATTAAAGATCAGGACCAGCGATTTCTGATGCCTATGTAATGTAACAGAACTTCCTTCTAATGAAAGATCTTGGAGAGAATTTGTTCCTGTGAGTACTTTGACTGATAGATTTATAAAGGGCCGAGACTGATTTGGAGATTAGGAGCTGAAGACAGATGAGGTATGCTGCCAGACAGAACATTTCTGAAAGGCAGACTGTGACAGAAAGGGCAGGGTGGGGTGGGGGCGGTGTCAGCAAGATCGTGCCTTTACCGTCTTGTAAGGTAGCAAGATCACTGATTAATCTCTGGGGCGGGAAGGACCATTGAGAACAAGAATATCCAAAATACAATTTTAGGTTGTATCTTTATGATATATAAACCTTCAGGGGTGCCTAGGTGGCTTACTCGGTTAAGTGTCCAACTTTGGCTCAGGTGATGATCTCACAGTTCATGAGTTCAAGCCCCACATTGGGCTCTTTGCTGTCAGCACAGAGCCCACTTCAGATCCTCTGTCCCCATCTCCCTCTGCCCCTCTCCCATTTGCTCTCATGCCCTCTCTCTCTCTCTCTCTCTCTCTCTCTCTCTCTCTCTCTCAAAAATAAACATTAAAAAAAAAACCTTCTGGGGCGCCGGGGGGGCTCAGTTGGTTGAGCGTCCGACTTCGTCTCAGGTCATGATCTCGCAGACCGTGAGTTCAAACCCCGCATCAGGCTCTGTGCTGACAGCTGGGAGCCTGGAGCCTGACTCAGATTCTGTGTCTCCCTCTCTCTCTGCCCCTGCCCCGCTCCCACTCTGTGTCTCTGTCTCTCAATAATAAATAAACATTTCACAAATTTTTTTAAAAAAACAAAAAATCTTCAGTAAAAGTTTTGCCACACCTAACAAGCTTCTGTTTATAGCTGGTTTGGAAAATTCAAGAAAGCCCTGTGTCTCAAATTTGGAACCTGTGCGAGCAGAGGTAAGGGAACAGCCAAGCGCACAGAAGCAGGAACAGGACTTTAGCTGAAAGAGGAGTCAGAACGAGAGGTGACCGTAACAGCTGACCCACTGAAATTTATCCAGTAGACAGTCCTGTCTCCTCCCCATTCTGCCCAGGATCTGCCCTGCTTGGAAGCTGAGCAGTGTCTTACCTAGATGTCGAGGAGGAGAGTGGCCCCAGCTGACATCCAGGCTATGGTCACTGCTCCAGATCGAGAGTTTAGTCAGGCCCTCAAAAGTAATGAAAATCAGGGGTGCCTGGGTGCCTCGGTCGATAGAGCATGTGACTCTTGATCTCAGGGTTATGAGTTCAGGCCCCACACTGGGCATGGAGCCTACTTAAAAAAAAAAAAAAAAAGTAACAAATATCACCAAAAGAAAAGTCTTCTGTGGGCCTGTCTCTGGAGATGCAAGAGAAGGAAGGAGATGTTGAGAAGAGAATATGTATCTCTGTGCCAGCAGGTGTGGAGAGAAGCTGCACCCCAAAAGAGAATGTGGTAGTAGAAGATTCTGAAGGAGAGGTCAGCAGGTTGCACTCACAGGGTCTGTGGACAAAAGGAAGGAACTGTCCAGGGAGCCAGTCCAGGAAAGGCCAAGACTCGCCAGAAATTGATGCAAACAGCACAGCAGGCAGGAGATGAGGTCATTCCATTTGCCCAGAGGAAAGTGAGGTCGAGAAAGCTGGCCTTCCTCCTCCTGGCCAGGGTACTCCAGGACAGCCAGGCAGACGCTGCTCCTGCCCTTGCCCCCACGGAGAGGGGACGATGGGCCCTAGCTCAGAGCACGGAATCCTCCCTTGCATGGCTGAGCAGCTCGTGACTAGTCAGTCCTCCCAGGGCCCCCAATTCCCTTTTGGGTAAGTTCTCTGTAAAGGTCCCAACTGCCCATCGTTCCTGCATGGGGTCACCCATCCCCACAGGCCCCTACCTCCTCATGCCCACCAAGGTTTAAGATTCACAGTGAAGACAGTGACCATAATCTGGGGAGCGGCAGGACTGGTAGTGACGGCACAAGCCTCAGATCCCACGGTTCACACTCTGAGGTGGGAATTCAGACACCCTGCCAGATAGTGGAAAGGATGGTTGGGTACAAGTCTTTCTTCAGATCACACTCATACGTGGCTTCCCACTTGGGAGGACCCTCTTGAAGAGAAGAGGGGGCTGGGGAAAGGCGGGAGGATGGAAAATATGAAGAGAAAGGAAACCAGGGCGAGAGAGAGAACAGACCTAACAAGTGAGATCACAGAAGTGTGACATTTTATGGGCAGAGCGGAAAACAACTGCGAGGCCCCTGAATGAAACGTGGCCTGGAGAAATAAGCCATGTGTTCCCAGGACTCAAAGAGGGAAAAGCCCAGCTAGCTCTAACATCCCCAGATCAGCCTTTCCAGGAGGACAGAGCAAGGAGGAGTCTAAGACCCAGAGGAGTCTAACGCCACATGACAAAGCTGGGAAGGGAAAGGCCCCAGGTGCTCCAGGACACCAGGGATGGACACAGCTGGAGGTGGGGGTGGGAAGGGAGGGCAAAGATGGTAGTAAGGTGAGGAAGGAGGGCCAATGGACAGGCGTGATCCCCGTCCCACAGGTTGGCAGGAAGATTAGATGAGATCACAGGTCGTTTCCTTGCAGAGTCCGGCAGAGAGGGAACCGGTTTAAATCCCTTGTTTGCAGTTCTGAACAATTCTGTAGCGGTCTTTTGGCTATAAAACCAGACCTCGGTTGATGCAAGGGTTAGTTACAGTCTTATCCATCCCCACTTAATTTTGGTTGGTTTTTTTGTTTTTTTGTTTTTTTGTTTGTTTTTTTTTTTTTTTTTTTTTTTTAGAGAGAGAGAAAGAAAGCGGGGGAGAGGGGCAGAGGAAGAGAGAGACAAAGAATCTTGGGCAGGCTCCATGCCCCAGCACAGAGCCTGACACAGGGCTCGATCCCACAACCGTGAGATCATGACTCTGGGATCATGACCCGAGCCAAAATCAAGAGTCAGCCGCTCAACCGCTCAACTGAGCCTCCCAGGTGCCCCAACCCCCACTTAGCTTAAATATTCAATAGCTTTGCTACAGAAATGTTGTGCTTGAGTGTGAGTGCTACCCCGGCCCCATGAGGCATCTTGTGGTGCTAGCTTCTCCCCCAAGTCTGAAAAATTCTGAGTTCAGAAACTTATCTGACCCCAACTGTTTCAGATAAAGGTTTGTGGGCCTGTACTCAGTTCAGGCTCCCCTTCCTCCTCTAAACCATCAAGAGCTTGTAAGCTGTGAACAGGGGGTGATGTGGGCATAACGTGTACAAGTGCGTGAATAGGAGAGGTCAGTGCCCCACGCATCCAACGTTGGGTAAAAGAGGACGGCACGAATGGGTTAAGTTCTTAGTGAGCACAGAGGCCAGCGTGTTGGAGGTGGTGGATGCCTTTGAAGAGCAGCAAGTCTTCTGACAGAGCTTGCCCTTTAATGCTCTCCCCACACCCAGCACCCAGCACATGGAAAAGGGGGAGGGGGTGGAAGTCACTGCTTTGAGAAAAAAAACAGCCACCAGAGAGCTTCAGCTGCCATCAAAGGTCGGCTTGCCACCTGAAACCAGCAACTCGAAGAGCACCTACAGCTGTTGCCCAGGAGGTGCAGAGAGCAGGCGCCCGCACCCAGCTGGGGGCAGCAGGTCCGCAGAGCCCAGAGGTCAGTGGCTGGAGTGCAGAAAGAGCTCCCCTGGGCAAGAGCCATGGCCCGGCCACCCCCCTGCTGGCTGTGGATTCTGGGGACCCTGGCGGGGCTCTCGGCTACCCTGGCCCCCCAGTGCTGTCCAGAGAAGCATTACTGGGCCCAGGGACAACTGTGCTGCCAGATGTGTAAGCCAGGTAAGAGAGGAGCCCTCGCCAGGGGTTTGGGGTGAAGGGCAGTGGAGAGTGCATCTGAGTTCCAGCAAGGAGAGGAATCCGGTGCCACTTTGAAGAGGGCAGAGAAGTGGCCTTCCTTGGGCCTTGACCCGGACCTCTGCTCACAGGGACTTTCCTGGTGAAGGACTGTGACAGACACGGAGAGGCTGCTCAGTGTGATCCATGCATACCGGGGGCCTCCTTCTCACCAGACCACCACATCCGGCGCCACTGTGAGAGTTGTCGGCATTGTAACTCTGGTGAGATGGGCAAACCTCTGGGGGATCCAGGTGGCAGAGCCGGGGATGGAAAAGCAAAGAGGAGGGAGGTCAGAGCTTGTCACTTCAAGGCTACTGCAAGTGGAGCCAATGCTGGGAAATGGGGTGCCCTGGGCAGGGCACATATTGATGTGGAGAGAACTCTAGCGTTACAGGGAATGGGGTAAGCAGAATTTGGGGAGCTGCGGAGAATGGGTGCACAACTCAGATCATGACAATATAAAGGGGAAGTGAAAAAAAGGGAGGTGGTCCTAGGTCCCAGATTTCAGGTGAGCAAACCCCCATTGATGAATTGGCTGCGTCTGAAGTGCACATTCATTTGGAACTTGGAGTACATCTTTCTCTCTTTCTTTCTTTCTTTCTTTCTTTCTTTCTTTCTTTCTCTCTCTTTCTTTCTTTCTTTCTCTTTCTTTCTTTCTTTCTTTCTTTTTTTATGTATTTATTTGAGAGAGAGAGAGAACAGAGGAGAGGCAGAGAGAGGGAGAGAGAGAATCCCAAGCAGGCTCCACAGTCAGCACAGAGCCCAATGTGGGGCTTGAACTCACAAACTGTGAGATCATGACCTGAGCCAAAATCAAGAGTCAAATCCTTAACCAACTGAGTCATCCAAGCACCCCCTTTCTTTTTTTTTTTAATATTTATTTTTATTTATTTTGAGAGAGAGAAAGTACAGGGGAGGCGCAGAGAGAGAGAGAGGGAAAGAGAGAAGCCCAAGCAAGCTCCAAGCTGTCAGTACGGAGCCCAACTCAGGGCTCAATCTCACAAACCATGAGATCATGGTCTGAGCCAAAATCAAGAGCTGAAGGCTCAACTGACTGAGCCACCCAGGTGCCCCTAAGGAAATAACAATACCAGCCAGTCGAGTAACATCCTTTCTTTTTTTTTTTTTTTTTTTTTTTTTTGCACAACAGCCAATTTAGGAAAATGAATATGTATGTGGCCTATATTTCTTGTTTATTTTGTAATTTTATCTTAAAAAAAATTTTTTTAATGTTTATTTATTTTGGGGAGACAGAGTGCAAGCAGGGGAGGGGCAGAGAGAGAGAGAGAGGGAGACACAGAATCTGAAGCAGGCTCCAGGCTCTAAGCTCCATCTGAGCTGTCAGCACAGAGCCTGACGTGGGACTCAAACCCATGAAGCGCAGGATCATGACCTGGGCTGAAGTCGGATGCTTAACTGACTGAGCCACCCAGGCACCCCAGTAATTTTATCTTTTTTAAATGAAGAAGTAACGTGTGCATCTGATGTGAATTCTTTTATTATTTCTGCATCTTAGCTAGAATTTCAGAATCTGTGTGCCAGCCCAGATAGAGCAGCAGACTTTAAAGTGGTCCCTTGGGGCACCTGGGTGGCTCAGTCAGTTGCACATCCAACTTCAGCTCAGGTCATGATCTCACAGTTCGTGGGTTCTAGCCCCACATCGGGCTTTGCACTGACAGCACAGAGCCTGCTTGGGATTCTCTCTCCCTCTCTCTTTCTCTGGTCTTCCCCCTCTCTTTTTTTCTCTCTCTCAAAATAAATAAATATTAAAAAATAAAAACAAACGAAAAAAGGTTTGCCATTGCAAATAAGTCAAAAAAAAACAACATCTCAAATACACAAGAAGTATTCCTCAGTCCACTCAACTTAAAAATATATTAATGGATGCTTTTCTCTTCTTGTCAGCAACCCCAGCAGGGTTGGAATTATTTATTTATTTTTGATGTTTATTTATTTTGAGAGAGAGAGAGAGAGAGAGAGAGAGTGAACACGAGCAGGGCAGGGGCAGAGAGAGTGGGAGAGAGAGAATCCCAACCAGGCTCCATGCTCAGCACGGAGCCCTACTCAGGGCTTGATCTCAGGAACTGTGAGATCATGACTGGAGCCAACACCAAGAGTAGGATGCCCAACTGACTTAACCACACAGGCACCCCTGGAATTATTTTAGTCAAAGTCCACCCACGCATTCTGCAGGCCCCGCCAAAAGGCCTTTTCCCAATACTGAACCAGCCTGAACTCCCTTTGCTGTGTTCCAGACCAGGCGGTTCAGACTCAGCCCATAGGCCCCCAAAACTCTCAGGCAGCAATTGGCTGAGGGACTCCAGGTGACGGTGGCCAGGGGTGAGGCTGAATGAGTTTGGCCCCCTCTGGACCTCAGTATTCCCATGGGTAAGATGGAAAAGTGCTTTAAATTCGCCTGGAATTTGGGGCACAGGTTATACAAGGTGAAAAGAACTCCCAGGTCTCTGGATACTCCTCACTAAAAACAATGGCACGCCTTCCATTGTAACCAAGCCCAGCCCCCTCCTTAACCCTTCTCTTGCCTTTGGGCAGATACCCTCCTGCCCACCCCCTCCTGGGTCTGAGGTGATCTTCCTCACCTTTGCCTACCTCTTCTCCTCTCCCCTATCACTGTTCTCTTCTTGCAGATCCTTGTCCAGCCTGGCTCACAATTCCTGGTAAGCCACAAGGAAACCAAATTCTAGTAGCAACTACGAGTCAAAATTCAGAAAGAAGCAGCCCTAGGGGCCTAAGGATGGGAAGAAGGAATTTGTGTCCCTCTCCCTTTCCTCACAAAAAGCACATGCTAAAGGAATATTAGAGTACTAGTAAGCATCTTCGACATCTGCCAGCCTTCCTTTCTGCACCCCTCCTTGCCTGTGGGGGCTCTTCTCCCTGGTTCCCCATGAGTGCACTGTCCTAAGGTCCCACCAGTCCACGGGCAAACCTGGCCCACATCCGGGTGCCGCTGCCTTCCCCAGAATCACCCTCCTCTTCTTAACCCCAACCACCTGTGAGTCCAACCCAGACTAGAACCCCTCACATCCTCCTCCTCTAGTATAATTTATTGGCAGTCATTCAGCACCCGACCTCTACACTTGAATAACATTTCTATTTAAAAGGCAAAGTAGGGGCACCTGGGTGGCTCAGTCGGTTGAGTGTCCGACTTCAGCTCAGGTCATGATCTCACGGTTTGTGGGTTTGAGCCCTGCATCGGGCTCTGTGCTGACAGCTCAGAGCCTGGAACCAGCTTCAGATTTTGTGTCTCCCTCTCTCTCTGCCCTCCTCTGTTTGCACTCTGTCTGTGTCTCTGTCTCTCAAAAATAAATAAACATTTAAAAAAAAAATTTTTTTAAAGGCAAAGTGTGTTAGTAATGAAGTAAATCTCTAGTAAAGTTAAAAACTGGGGCGCCTGGGTGGCGCAGTCGGTTAAGCGTCCGACTTCAACCAGGTCACGATCTCACAGTCCGTGAGTTCGAGCCCCGCGTCGGGCTCTGGGCTGATGGCTCAGAGCCTGGAGCCTGTTTCCGATTCTGTGTCTCCCTCTCTCTCTGCCCCTCGCCCATTCATGCTCTGTCTCTCTCTGTCCCAAAAATAAATAAACGTTGAAAAAAAAAAAAAAAAAGCAAACCGGGAGCCCCAAGGTTTGCATTAAAAAAAAAAAAAAAAAAAAACCTATCAGGGGGCCACCTGGGTGGCTCAGTTGCTTAAGTGTCCAACTCTTGATTTCAGCTCAGGTCATGATCTCACGGTTTGTCGGTTTGAGCCCGCGTCGGGCTCTGCCAGCTCAGAGCCTGCTTGAGATTCTCTCTCTCCCTCTCTTTTTGCCCCTCCCCCCTCTCAAAAATGAACATTTAAAAACAAATTAAAAAATAAAAACCTATCAGGGACCATAGCAGCACTATTCCTGATTGCTTAAAAACTGGACACTACCCACGTGCCATTTGCAGTAGAGTAGATAACTGAATCATGGGAAATTCATACAGTGTAATGCTATACAGCAGGAGAAGGAATAGCCTATGGTTACAATGTGGATGAATTTCACAAAGATTGAATAAGAGTGCCTGATACAAGTAAGTACACACGCATGACTACACAAATGTAGTGCAAAAAGAAGCAAAATGAACTCGCAGTGTTAGGAAGTCAGGCTAGATAGTGGTTATGTGTGGGTGGGAGGAGGTAGTGACTAGAAAGGAACTCTGCTTCTCTTGTCTATGGGTCCAATTTGTAGCAATTCTCAAGCTTGACGCTTCTGATCTGTGTACCTCTCTGTAAGTAAATTACACTTCAAGAAGTTATAAAAGTATCAGTGAATAAGAGAGAATATCATGCAAGCTGTTTCTACTTTTTCCAGTTTGCATTTCCGAAGCATGAATTTTCTAAAAGGTCTACATTTTTCCTTTCATGGCAATAGTAATAAAAGCAGAGGCACTGGGTGACAGCGAGGGAGGGGCAGGCCCTTGTGTAGATGGGGCAGGAGTTCCGGGAGCCAGGTCTGGGACGGCAGCTCAAGATAGGATTTAGCGAGCACACCTTGCAGGTCTCTGAGGCCTGAACTTCTCGTGTTCCTCCTGCCCTCCTCTGTCCCCAGGTCTCCTCATTCGAAACTGCACCCTCACCGCCAATGCACAGTGTGCCTGTCCCAAGGGCTGGCAGTGCAGGGACAAGGAGTGTACCGAGTGTGATCCTCCTTCAAACCCCTCACTGACACCTCGTCCATCTCAGGCCCCAGGCCCACACCCACAACCCACCCACTTACCTTACGCCAAAAGTAAGTTCCAGGCAATACTTTGTCCAGTCACAGGGATAAGGGTCACCCCCCCCCCCCAACCAGCACCCTCCCCACATAAGTTGCCTGGCCAGCTGTTCAGCCTTCCCATCTCACCCAGCGCCTCTTAGGCCTCAGGCCTTCATTCAGCCCAGGCTTGTGCCCTGGGAGGTGCCCTGCTGCTGCCCACCCTGTCTCTTTTTCCAGAGATGCCAGAGGCCGGGACAGTCCGGCAGGTGCAAACTCTAGCTGATTTCAGGTGGCTGCCTGCCCCAGCTCTCTCTACCCACGGACCACGTGAGTTTCCTCCCCATTCTCCACCCCCAGAGAATGCATACAAGAGAGAATGCATACAAGAGAGGGAAGTCAGCCAGAAAGCTCCTGGAGTAGGAGTAAGAAGTAAGAGAAGCAGAATCTAAGGATTAGGAAAGGACTTAGTCCAATGGTAGCAGTGGGGATTGGGGTGAGAGAGAGATGGCAGATGGGTAACAGGAGGCCTGGGCTGAGGAGAGTCGAGACCTAGGCCCTCCCCAAAAACACTTGTGTGGCCCCTGTCTACCACAGCCCAAAGGTCCCTGTGCAGCACAGACTGCATCCGCATCTTTGTGGTCCTCTCTGGAATGTTTCTTGCTTTCACCATGGTCGGAGCCCTGTGCCTCCATCAACAAAGAAAAAATGGACTAAGTAAGAGACAAAATGCAGGTCTCCAGTCCTGTCCCTGCACCCCACCCTACTTCCTTAGCCCCGCCACCCATGCCTGGAACCTCTCGGAAGCCTCCCTCACACCATCTTTACCAACCCTTGCTCCTGCCTTCTCTCTCGCCTCTTCGTCGGCACCCCCTGACAGCCTCCCCCAAGTTAACCCTTCTTTGTTCATGTCCACTCTCTTCACCACCCCCCACCTTAACTGCCTCTGATTCTCCTCCTGCAGACAAAGAAGAAAGTCCAGTGATGCCTGCAGAGCCTTGTCCTTACAGCTGCCCCAGGGAGGAAGAGGGGGGCGCCATCCCCATTCAGGAAGACTACCGAAAACCAGAGCCTGCTTCCTACCCCTGAGCGTGCTCGCCTTGGGGGTGGGGAGGTCATCACTACAATAAAATCCCAGCCTCAGTCCCACCCCATCGGCCACCCAGGCCGATGAGCCGAATGAGACCTGGCACCCCCGGTTTCAGTACCATCCTCTTATCAGGACCCTTTCCTGTGTGCAGACTTGAGAGCGTGACTTTTGGAGACTGGCAGTGACAAGGACACGAGGGGATGCGGTGGAGGGTGGGTCACAGGCGCCCGAGTGTGCCCTGGCTCAGCCGGCTTCGCCCCTGCGCTGCACTGGAGGGCTGAGGCCCTAGCTGGAAAACACACTTCTGCCTACGAACCCCCACGTGCTGTATCACTGACGTAGAAATTCTGCAAAATAAAGTGACGGCCAGCCACACACCCATGCTCTCCGCGCGCGCTCTGAAATTCAATCTCTGCGCGCCAGCCACTCCCAGATCCGGGATCTGAAGGAGGAGCTCTCTCCTGGGCGGACTGGTGCTAGGGGCCCGCCCCAGTCGCCGAAGGAGGACCGCCAGGGGGTGTGGCACCAACCGAAAATGAAGAAAGGTTCCCAGGCTCCTGGGGATCCTGCTTCTGGCTTCGGTCTCTGCCTCCCCCCACCCCCTCCCTTACTTCGGCTCCGCTCTCTTGGGTGGGGGGTCCAAGGGTGCATGCCGTTGAAGTCAGGTCTTGACAGAACGAGAGGATTTGCGGGAGGCGGGGGAAGAAAGGAGAACCGTGATCACGACGCTGGCACGCGCGCCTAGTTAGTGGTTTCACTCCTAGGCAGAAGCAGCCGCGGTGAAACTCGAAGTGAAAGCGAAAGAGGAGGAGGCCAAGGGCTGGAGAGAAAGCTACAGGCCAGAAAGGGTGGTTCGGAGAGCCCGTCTTCTCCAGCCGGGACGCGCCCGCCGGAGCAGTGGGGAAGGGCGGCGGGGCGGGGCGGGGCGGGAGGGGTGGCAGCGCAGCCCCCATGGGCGCGGGGCAGGGCTGGTGCCTGCTGCTCTGCCTGGCCCTGTCCCGCGTGGCGGCAGGCCCAGGTGAGCGGGGAGCGCCGGCCGGAGTGGGGGGAGGGGGAGGGAAGAGGAGGGTGGGGGTGTTGGGCCCAGGGCGGACCAGGGACCCACCCACCCCGAGATTCCAAAGGGGAAGGGGGTGGGGGGAGGGGGCCGGCTTCCAGCAACCTCCTAAGCCCAACAGGAGAAAGGCTGGCAAAATAAGGAACCAATGGTGTTGGGGAGGAGGCCGCAGCCTGTGGGAAAGGGCAAAGGAAGAGAGGCCTCCTGGGGGATGCGGTGGAGGGCCTAGTGGAGAGGGCACTGCCTGGGAGCAGACACCTTCCCAAGCGGAAAGCTGGGAAATCCCCGGAAGGTGTGCCCTGGAGGTGGGGGAGGGGAAGGCCACCTGTAACCGCAGAAAGCTGAGTAGACCCAGTGGGCTGGCTGGGAAATTGTGCCAACTCCCCTCGCCACATGGGCGGCCTGTCTCCCTCCTCTCCCAGTGGCAATTTTGCTCATTTATGTGCTTTTGCCGAGAATTCCTTTGACTGAAGAGAGTTTTTTGGCTGGCAGTTGTAATGACAATAAAAACATAAACTCTCCTGACCAATGTAAATCAGGACTTTAATTCATACCAGGTATGTGCCTGGACTAGCAGGTGCTTCCCAGAAAGCTGGTTTGGGGGTGACGAGAGGGACACAGAGACAGCTAGGACCCTGGATGACAACTTCTACACCTTCCTTGATGACTCCACAGTTGGGGTGCGAGGCGAGTACAGAAGCAACTCTCTGGGCAAGAGGGTGCTCACTCCTATCTTTAACCTGCAGAAGAAAGGCAGTGGCGGAAGGTGGATGTGGTCCTAGACTGCTTCCTGGTGGAGGAAGACAGGCACCCTGGAAGTCTTGCCAGCAGTAGGACCACGGTGGAGGCCTTGCTCGTGCTGAGGCAGGTACCAGTGCTGGATGACGGCTCCCTGGAAGCCTTCACTGATTTCCAAGGGGGCACACTGGCCAAAGACAACCCACCTGTTACCTTCGAGGCCTCAGGTAAGAGCCCTCCACCCTATGTCTCAATCTTTCTGGGCTCCCTCCGCTGGGACGGTGCAGTTCCTGAGGACACCCACCGCACCTGTTTCCCATGGACCCAGGTGTTCTCAATCCAACTGGACCTCTGTGCTGCCCTTCTCCCACAGTGAACTTGGTACAGATTCCTCAAGCCGAGGCCTTACTCCATGCTGACTGCAACGGGAAGGAGGTGTCCTGTGAGATCTCCCACTATTTCCTCCAGGCCACTAAGAAAGCTTCGTTCATCGCCAACGTGCAGGTACCCGGAGGGGGACCTAGTGTCTCCATGGTGATGAAGGTTCTCAGGGATGCTGAGAATGGGGCTGTCTTGCACCCCACACTGAAGCTGCCCCTGAGCCCCCAGGGGATGGTGCAGACTGCAGGTGAGAAAATTAAAAGTAGCAGAAATAAAGTTGTGGGTTTTTTCAAGTGGGCAGCTCATGAGGAACTAGAAGGAGGAAGGGAATAAGTACACTTCCATCCACATCAGTCATCTCAGGGTGTCCCCTAGCCTCAGTCCTTTCTCCTAAAGACCCAAAGGATTGGATTGGGATCATTTTCACCTCCCTTGTGTGAGGAAATGACATGCGAGGCTCTGTTCACGTACGCTGTCCATAGCAGTCTTATTAAACCAAGCACCAGTTGTATCGCGGTGAAAGCCAGCCTGTTCTGGTGCTTCAAGATGATTAGAGTGACGCACATGCAGGATTTGTTCATTAACTCTTATTAGCAAAACCTGGTTTTTGCCCTTTCCAACCTGGTACATCCCAGAGGACACAGGAAATTGAGAACATGATGATAGGCTTCTCCAGAGTTCCTCAATCCAGTATTTTGCCTCCAAAAAGAGGACAACCAGGTCCAGAGATTAGGGGGCTAGCCTCTTATCCTTAGAAAGCCCCAGAAGACTCAACCTAACTTTACCCTGCCACAGCAGAAAAGAGGGGTTCTCATGTCTGTCCAGTGTCAGCCATAGTCCTAGCATGGCTTAGGTATTCCCCCTAAGCCATGCTAGGGTATTCCCCCTTTGGGGGAGGTATTCCCCCCTGTCTTTCTACCTTTTGTAGGGACATTTCAAACCTACAAAAAGGTAAAAGAATAATGTAATGAGCACCTGTATACCATTCACCCAATTATTTTTTAATGTTTATTTATTTTTGAAGGAAAGAGAGAGCACAAGCAGGGGAGGGGCAGACAGAGAGGGAGACACAGAATCCGAAGCAGGCTCCAGGCTCCGAGCTGTCAGCACAGAGCCTGACACAGGGCTCGAACTCACCTGCCATGAGATCATGACCTGAGCCGAAGTTGGTAGCTTAACCTACTGAGCCACCCAGATGCCCCTGTATCAACCAATTATTAATGTCTTGCCGCATTCTCTCTCTTGATAGATGAAAGGATAGGTATCCCTCCCTGAACTGAAAGTAAATTGCAGACACTCCAACACTTCACCCCAAATGTTTCCATGTATGTCATGTATTGGCTCATAACACAAAGTTTATAACCAAAAACAAGGATATTCTCTTTCATAATCACAAAACCATCACCTTGGCAGCAAATCAAGGTGGGGAGCAGTCTAGGGTGGTGCAGGCAATAAGGGAGTACAGTGTGTAAAGACTTTAAGAACATATTCTCACCATTACATCACCACCATATTGACAATCTTGAACACTATCACTGATAAAACACTCCTCCCTGCCAAGGCAGTCCATTCCTACCATTACTTGGTACACCACTGAGCATTAGACTTAAGAAATGTTCTTTAATGTTCATTTATTTTGAGAGAGAGGGAGAATGGGCGTATGTGCGCACATACAAGTGGGAAGGGGCAGAGAGAGAATCCCAAGCAGTCTCCATACCGTCAGTGCACACTTGGACGTGGCGCTTGAACTCATGAACCGTGAGATCACGACCTGAGCCGAAGTCAAGACGCTTAACCGACTGAGACACCCAGGTGCCGCCAGACTTAAGAAATTTTTAAATTGATGCAATAGTACTGTCAATATAGAGTCCAAGTTCAAATTTCTCCAGTGGTCCCACTAATGTTCTAGTTTGTTTTTGGTTTTTTTTGTTTTTTTTTTTAATTTTTTTTTAATGTTTATTTATTTCTGAGACAGAGCATGAGCGGGGGAGGGACAGAGAGAGAGGGAGACACAGAATCCGAAGCAGGCTCCAGACTCCGAGCTGTCAGCACAGAGCCTGACACGGGCCTCGAACTCACGAACCATGAGATCATGACCTGAGCTGGAGTCTGTCACTCAACCGACTGAGCCACCCAGGCGCCCCTTGTTTTTAAGTCCAGGATTCAAACAAGGGTCATGCATTCAGTTGTCCTGTGCCTTTAGCCTCCTTTACTCCAGAACAGTCTTTTCCTAGCATTGACATTTTGAAGAGTCCAGGCCTGCTGTCTTGTAGAGTATCCCACCATTTGGATGTGTCTGATTGTTTTCGTCATTGGATTCAGCTTCAGCATGTTTGGCACAAATACTACCACTGGGTGCTTTTTAAATCTCTTATTCCTATTTAGTCTTCGCAGCAGCTTCGCCTTAAGCAGATGACCTTGGCAACCCTTACTGCCTTGCCCTAGGTCACAGAGCTAGTAAGTGGAAGAAGCAGGGTTCCAAAGCTTTTGCTGCTATTCCAGTGGTCTTACCTGAGGGTCAATGGTAACACATAATTTTGCATGTGTAATTTTCTGGTGAGACGTCCATAGCTTTCGTCAGATTATCCAGGGGTAAGTGACTCCAAAATAGTTAGGATTACCATGTGTGCCATGCTGCTTTTCCACAGCACCATTTCTTTGTGGTTCCATCTTTTTTTTTTTAATTTATTTATTTTGAGAGAGAGAGAGAGAGAGAGAGAGCGCGCGCACAAGCAGGGGAGGGGCAGAGAGAAGGACAGACAGAATCCCGAGCAGGCTCCACACCATCAGTGCAGAACCCAACGTGGGGCTTGAACTCATGAACTGTGAGATCATGACCTGAGCCATGATCCAGGGTCAGATGCCTAACTGTGCCACCCACACGCCCCATTTTGTGGTTGCACCTGATGGGAAATGTCCAGGAAGGAGGCAGGGGCAGGCATACGCCCACAACATGCCCACAGTTTAGCGATCAGGTGGACTCGAGGAGGAAGTAGCCCACAGTCACCCTTCTTTTTCTCACTATAGTGGAGCTCCAAGTGACAACACAGACCCCATTGCTGAATTTCCTGCTGGGGTCCTCAGCCTCCCTGCACTGTGGCTTCTCCGTGGCCCCGGGCTTAGACCTGACTGGCGTGGAGTGGCGGCTGCAACATAAGGGCCACGGCCAGCTGGTGTACAGCTGGACCACGGGGCAGCGGC